GTACTATGTTAATTGTACTACAACAAAACTCTTACGTATACAGGGTTGGTAAAATTGGCGGAACATCCGAGTTGTAGCTCAATTATGGATTGTACAGAAAATTGACTAATAAATTTTTATGCAATATTTAATAACGCTTGGGGATTTTCGTCAACTGTCATATTTATTAAGATATGACGTCATTAGATAAAATTTAAAATGAATTACCCTGTATTTATATTTCTTTCAGATAGATACTTTTTTTCTAAATCCATCAATATGGGGTTCGAGTGGTTTCTGACTCATCATGACAAAATAATTAATCAAAAAGGATAACGCTGTTTTGAATATTTAATGAATAACATCCACACAATGTCTACGCTATCATGAGGTACCAATTTAAATTATTTTGCAACGGTTTCACTTTTTTACATTAAAAATGTCATAATAACATCTCGATATTAATCACTCTGTTTCATTAATACGATTCTTGTACATCTCTGACAGAAATACCTACCAATGTTTTTTTGGTACTGTTTCCTTGGTTTTTATAATATTTTCACCTATTATTAAGCTGTAGATTTTAATTCATTCTAGTTCATGAACACAATTAAACAAGTTGAGTTTAATTGCAAGTCTATTCATTTCACCCAAACTAGCCCAATAAGCGACAATAAATTCAACATATAACACTGTAGTCCAACGTCTTGTTGATCATATTCGCACCGTGCATGACAGCCGCGATAATTTATTTAGGTACTAATGGACTATTTTTGCGTATACTGACAATACAATTTTTTAATAGAATTCGTTATTAAATAGTATATATGTTAGTTTTAATAAAATTATATGGATTTGTAAAACAAGTAAAACATTAATTTATTATTATTATATGTTTTTATCGCTTAAATTCAAAAAAGTAAGTATAATCAATAAAAATCAATAATAAAATATAGGCAAGCAACAGTATTTACGGGAAAATGTATGAGAAGTCTAATAAGTTGTCTTTGAAGAATTAACCTATTCTGTTAAAATAAAAAAAATACCATTAAATAATAGCGTGAAGTTAAAATGTATAAATAGAAGGATTGTTATTTATATTTTCATTTTTATTCCAAAGAAAACATAGAATGAATGATTAAAACTGGTTTCCTATCAGTAAGTCACAAAATTGCATTTCAGCCACATACAATAATCTACTATGGCTACTATTTCCAGTATTTCTGTTAATATTACAAAAATAAAGGTTAATTTTTCTTTTATTGTACACCTATTCATTTATTTTTTTGATTTAATTTCCTTTTTGCTACTGAAATATTTTATAATTTTCACTGTTTTGTTTGCTACTATTTTTATAATTTTCAACACAGCAACTCCGATTGCTTATTGTATTGTTTTTACCTACTTTATGAAAAAAAAGTAAAATGTATACGTGTATTTGATATGCCAAAATTACAAAATATCGCCCTAAAATGCACGAATTGTTCGCAGTTAGGGGTAGTATCGCTTTTGCTTCCCCTACCATGACTTTGCACTGAGCGAATAGCCTTGGAAGTATATGTTTGTCGTTATAAGGCGACCGAACAGTATCTTGACTAAAATCGGTACTGGAGTATGGAACTCGCAGCTTTTTTTTATTCATTTGCCCTCCATTTGAGAGCAACATCGACCATCTATTTTTTTTTAATATTTTATCTGAGAAAATGGTACAAGTCTAATTTAAAAAGTACAACTAATTTGTCTTACATTCAAATTATTTTCTATTAAATCTATGTAAATATGCCTTTTCCATGTTTAAAAGTTGACTTTTTCATGTATGGCTTGTTTTATGTCTAACAACTTGTTTTATGTCTATGTCTAAATTGTTTCATGTATAACTTGTTTTAGATCTAAATTGTTTTATATCTCTTTTGTTTTGTCTGTTTTTGTTTTGTCTGGCTCGTTTATCTACTCGATCCATATTTTTACTGTTATGGTGCAACCGGCATATTTTAGTCAGGCTCCTATCTCCTAATGCGTGAGAAAGCGAATTCACTCGGAAGAAGTTTGTTAGTCTTTAGTCTAGTTTTCTCGATATACGACATCATTGGAGACGTTCGCTTTTTCTTCCTTTTTTTGTTCTCGTCCTGTAAGGACGTAGACTCTTTCATTTGTGAAAATCGAACACGTGTAGGCGGGTAATAGTATATGCGTTTTCTGCACTTCTAAAAGGCATTTTATCTTTAATTTGCAAGGGTATAAAATTATCCCTGTATGAAAAATGTTGCAGGTAGTTTAAAAGGATTTAATTCAGGCGAAAATAATGTTTTGTTGCTATTATCGAATTAACATTTTTTTCTATTATTTACTAATGCGCAAATTTGGAAGAAAATTTTAGATAAATTTGAATTATATTATTTTGATATATGTCAGAAATAAGAGTGGGACGTGACTTTATGGACGCACTATATAGAGATAATACTGTTTAACCAACATTTGCTTATGTATCCAGTACAAAAAAATTGTTTACATATAAAGTAAATAGTAAAGGCCCGAGTACAGTACTATGGGATATACTATAAAAAATGGTTCTAACCTCGCAAAAAGTTATCGGTAAACTGATTGACTTTCTAAAATCTATAGATATTTAATCTTATTTTGTTTATAATTCACAGTTTCTAGGTACACGCTAACTTGTACGCAATTCAAAAATTTATATTCACGCGTAACGTCTTGACAGAGTAGGTGAGCTGTGTGCACGCCGATCGTAGCTAGGTATGGATTGAAATTTTTTGAAGTTATTCCTCGAGTATAGACTTATATTTACATCTAATTAACCTGCTTATAACTTCTAAACAGCTGAAGGTAAAAAAGTGCAATTTTTTCTAAAATGTTTTATTTTTCCACAAGGTATGTTAAGAACATTGTGTCAAACTGGTTATGTAGGTATAAGGGTTTAAACTTTGACTTTTAAACAACGTTACGTTCATAAATAATAATTTTAATATAAAAACTACTTCTTACCTACAAATCCAAATCAGAATCGAAATCAGAAGATGAACTGTCGCAACCAATATTTACAATGAGTGGCTCGATCATTTCATCAGTAATATTGTCCAACTTCCACACTTTCTCTTCTTCTTTAATCGTATGATTTACTGCCTTTTCCCAGTTTTCAGGCTTCACATAATTTACAGCCTCCAAAAACAACTGTTTAACATCACTCATTTTAAAAGAATTATTTTTTCCTAAAACTTCTCCCTTTATCTGTGCCCATATCAGTTCAATCGGGTTTACTTCGCAATGATATGGTGGTGATCTAACCACCGTCATCCCACGATTTTTTGCAATTTCATCAATTTTATATTTTTTGAATTTCTCTTTATGAAGGGAACACAAATAATACAGTTCTTTTCTCACAGAACCGGGATGGAACTTAATATTCTTTGAATTTAGCCAATTCTGTAAATCTTTTTTTAACCACTTGGTTGTGGGCATTTTTTCTATAAGTCTCGAGTGATAACTTGCATTATCCATTACTATTATACAGTTCTAAGGAAAAAGATCTATAATTTGTTCGAACCACTCTTTAAAGACATCAGCATTCATGTCCTCATGGTAGTCACCGGTACGAGTAGATTCAAAAGTCAATAAATCACCTTTAACAAAACCGTTTGAACTCCCGATGTGTACTATTATAAGTCTGCGCCCCTTTCCTGATGGTGGATTTAAACCAGTAGATAAATTATTTAGAAAAGCATGTCTTCGACTTGTAACAGTTTCATCTTGCCAAAATTTATTTGGTTTATGTCCCTCGTTGATCCATGTTTCATCTAAATAAAATATATTTCTTCTTTGGTTTCTCATTTCTTTTATAGTCCTTAGGTAATTTCTTCTCCATACTACAATATCGCTTCTTTCTATTAAAATAGACTTTCTGGAATGCTTTTTCCATAGAAAACCTATTTCTTTTAAAAGTTTCCATAGTGTGCTTCGACTCATTTCAGGGTAATCCTTATCATCTCGAACCGTGGCAAGAACTTTCTCTACTGTCGGAAACTCTTTTCTAAAGAAGAACACATGCACTTTCCTTCGAAGGCTTTCTTTCAAAATATTTTCTAATTGAAATTTTGGTTTTCCTGTAGCTTTACGGGCTCTGTTTGAAACTCGCCACATTTCTCTTCTTTAACAACTCTGTAAATCGTAGATTTCCCAACACCAAGCGTACTACTAACTAATTCCACTGTGTCATCAACACTTTTACATAAATGTATGTCTGTAAATGATTTAAAACAATTAAATATTAATGTTTTTTCATTAACTGTTAAAGGACCGATTTTTTGTCGTTTACGCGGCCCTTCCAAATTTTCCATGATCACACTAGAATTCACACTGCACCTTGCAAGTTGCAACTAAACGACATTTAGTAAACTGTCAAGAATACACAACTTGGACCTCCTTACTAAATGGAAAACCTATAATCGCATTTTCGGTGAAATTTGTTGGGAAGGTATTTATCTACTTATAATTCGATTACTGTAAGAAATTCTTGGAATTAAAATAAAACAAAATTGGCAAATAGGTACTTATTGAAAATAATCTTAAGATACGGCTATGTAATCTTTAATACACAGGGCTTTTGGCCTGTCCAAACCTTTTTCTATTGTTCTGTACAGCTTATGTTTATAAAGGACCAATAAAAGACCCAAAACTTGTAATAGCTCAGGTACATTTATTACAATTTTAGGAAATATTTAGATTATTCTGTAAAAATATTTAAAATGACCGTACTAAGTTTTGCATTAGAAATTACTCTCTTATACATAAAAATAGACTATAGTCACGGCGTAAATGAAAACAAACAAGACGCATTCACACAAACACCTCCCACCACAGCAATATGACGTTTCGCGTGTATATAATTTTTTGATTTGCGTACACTTTAGCGTGTACCTAGCAACAGCGTTTGTTATTTGGTATTTGCCATTATCAAATATGTATTGCTACGACAATTTTTTGTAACAATAAAAAAAGAAACTTACCTTCATAATAGCAGTATTATTTGAATCAGGCACAGCAAAAATAATCCATAAACCATTATCGTCAACACTAAAATCAACAGTATTGTACTGTCCACTGTATAATTTGGAAGCGTTCGTGTAAATTTTCGAACTGGAATCCGGTCCTGGAAGATCTAATAACATCTATAAAAAAAATTATGAAATAATTAACTAATAAAAATAATTAATGTTCAGTAAGTTCAGCTTTATCACGAGATTCATTTCATATTTCGTGAAAAATTATTCATGTGCTTCAGCAAAAATACTTACAGTACTCTCATTTAGTAAATTATATCGGATAATTCTTCTTGTATCCTTAATATTATAGAAAAAGTATCCATTGTATACTACGTGAGTGTTACCTCCAAAAGGATCATTAACATTGTATACGCTGTAACAAAAAAAAAACAATCAAAATATTCCAACTTTAAAAAGCTATAAAAAACATAAATAATCAACCCTACGATGTCTATAAGAACTTAAGGTTTTTCTCGCACAATAACTTTTAGTGTACCTCATTTATTTACAATATAATATGCAATAGGAATAGTAGTGGGCTCATAGCTGAACCTTGAGGTATTTCCGTATTGAAATTATGCACAATATAAGAGAAGTACAAGCAGAAAACCAACGACAGGGAAAATACTTACTGCGTGGGAATGTCTCTTCTAAACATGGTTTTATTGGCAAACTCGTACAGTTTGTGAGGCTGATTTTCCCTAGTCACCCAATATTTGTGTTCGTCCTTTTCATTTATAGGATTTGAATCACGCATCCAAGATCCGTAGTTATCTTCGGTGAACCTGAGATAGACTGGTTTACCAACAGCGTACAATACACAATCTGCAAGAAAAATGCGAATTTGAGATCTTAGGCGCCGAATCCACTGGGTGCGGAGCACCCATAGCACAAGTGGACAAAAAGTGCCAATAAGTGAAATGAACAGGCTGTCGTGGCCCAAGTTGGTATAGCGACAGGATGCCTCGATAAAATATTATCAATCGGAGCTGTATTTTTTGTGATAAAAAAGTCGCCGTGACTTGTCATAGACAACACGTTGAACTTGGACTTAAGGGTTTATTATTCTTGGTGTATAAAACCCTATAACTCAAAGAAGAACGACTAATAACGGTTTATAATTATCAAGACAAGAGTTTTGTACATATGCTATTGTGCAAATGCTTAAGGGGAGAAAGGAGATCATTTGAAAGTTGCTCCTGATTAAGCACCGTTAGAAAAGAACGTTCATTTGGAGTCAGAAATAGCTCTCTAGTAATGTTGGCGAGAAACCAGGTCATCTACTAAAAAACGATTGGACCCGTTTGATTTTAGAAGGAAACATTTTTTTGCCAGTTTTACCCTCTGAGCAGAAACCCTCTATCGGAGGGGAGGGGTGAGATTCACCAGTAAAATCTTAAATGTAAAGATAAGTCGAATGATATCTTATTTTGAAGGAATTTTGACATAGATAATAACCCCCAAGTTTTAGATCGCTACTATGTATGTAGCCCATACAGTGGCTCATCAAAAGTACAAAACCGATTTAACATAATTTTTACATTATTATTAAAAAAAAGGAATTCTTTATAACAATTCTAGTTTTATTCCTGTGGCTTTCAATTTAATTTATTGCGTTGTAGAATCGGCATAAAAGTGGCATTTCAGTAATAATGGTTTACTCAATTGCTGAGAGAGTGCAAATAATTTCACTTTTTTTACGAACACTGAATGTGCCCAACTGTTTAACAATCAACATCAAAATCGACAAGTCCATCGAAAGTATATTTTGGAGTTAGCCCAAAAATTTTGGGAAACGGACCCCGTTTCACAAATAACGTGAAATGGAAAATGCTGTAGTAAATGAAGCTACAGAGGTGCCGCCGATTTTAAGGCATGTTGTTTAAGAACCCACATTGAGTACAAGACAGTTGGCGATAACATCTGGTATTAAGAGAAGTAGCATTCAGAAGATATTGAAAAAACAGGAGTTTCCCTACAAAATACATCTGGTAAAAGAACTTATGGAAGACGATTTTGATAGGCGCTTATAATTTTGTGAAATTGTGACTGAACGGGCAATAAATAATCAGCAATTTCTTTTCAACGTGTGATTTTCAGACTAATGCACTTTTTTCCTAAATGGTACGGTTAATCGTCACAACTGTTGTTATTGGTTCGATTTAAATCCCAGAATATTTCATGAAGTGCATACGCAACATCTGGAAAAACTAAATTTTTTTGCCGACATTTTTGGTAACCGTATAATTGGCCCCTTCTTTTACCTGGAACTTTAACCGCAGAAATGTATCTAGAATTATTAGAAAACGCCATTTATTCAACGTTACTAGAGTTGATTGAGAATGACGATCAGTACATGGCAAACAACTTAATATTCCAGCAAGACGATGCGCCACTGTTCAGTATTTGGATCAAACGGTTCCAGATCAATGGATCGGAAGAAGAGGAAGTATTGAGTGGCTCCCACGGTCTCCGGATCTAAGAACGTTATATTTTTTTATGGGGCCACTTAACTAAAATTTATGCCACCCAGCCAACTTCACTGGAAAATTTGCAATAACGGATAATTGATGAATTTCATCAAATCACCCCATAGATGCTTCAAAATGTCCGAGAGCGTTTTGAACAAAACCTCTATTATTGCATGAAGGCTTAAGGTCAGTATTTCCAGCATTTTCAGCATTTACTCGAGTAACTGGTAAGCTTTTACCGAAAATAAAAATCTTTAAAAGATCATGGCTTTCCTAGCCATGATCGACAGTAGCAATTTAAAACTCGGGGGTTATACTCTATGTAAAAATACTTCAAAATAAACTATCATTCGACACCTCTTTCTGTTAAGGATTTTAGGTTCACCCCCGCTAGAGGGTTTCCGGTCAGGGGATGAAACTGGCAAAAAAATGTTTCCCCTAAAATCAAAAATGGACGGGTCCAATCGTTTTTTCGTAAATGACCTGGGGTGCCCAAAATTGGCTTTGTTTTATTTTCAAATGGCCACCGTGTATATATACAATACTCAATTATAAATGTATTAATAAATCATCAAAAATCTCCTTTTAAATTCATGATAGTTAATAAATGTTTTATATTGTGTTTCTACCTATTTCATTGGTAGTCTAGCACCGCAGCACCACTGAATACCAGTGGTGGCTGCATCGAGCATATAGGGTTGCCACATGCCAGATAGCCTCCAGCCTATCTAGCAATTGGACATTTGACAATACCTTTTTTTTCAGGAAAATTGTCATAAAATCATCGCTTTAAAATAGCTTTTTAAGTGATAGCCACCATTTCCTGCATAGAGGCCGGGCACCCAAAGCAATTTTTGAGTTCCGGCGCCTATGTTTGAGATAATAGATTGCGACTGTGAAACCATGTCGATCCCAAGCAATGTTGCTGACTGCCAGTGTTGCCGTTGCTACCGAAATCTAAATTACTTTAGAGTTGGTGGAAAAAAATAAGTAAATAACATAAATATGGTTTTAATAATACATACGATCAATTATTATTTGAACTCTAAAGTCTCTTGTTGAACGTTGTGTGGGAAAGTTCTTGATTTAGATTTGTTAAATGTATGTAAAATTATTTATTTTAATTATTTGTTCATTTGAAGGTCTGCATGTAGTTTTATACAATTATTAGTGGATTAATTGTGTCTCAGAAAATATTTTAAACACACGACCAATCTTTTGACTCATGTCGTTGTGTTTTATTCAAAGCAAAGAACAAAAAAGTGTGAGTGAGCAATAAAAACTCTTCTCGATTAAATTTGTCTGGTGACGTAACCACGGCTGATCTTAAACCACGCCCTCAATTCAATGAAATTCCTACACACCTGGACAGTCAGGCCTACGTGACTTTTCGCGTGGAAATTTTTATGAGGTTTTATTTTTATTTAAGCACGTGACTGTACAGGAGCGTGTTAAGGTTTACGGTAAAAAAATATGTTTTTAACTAGTTTTAAGATTATCTTTTTGAAGAGTTTTTAAAGAATTTAAGGATACGATTTCCACAATAATGTTAAAATAAAAAAAAAACAAAAATATCAACCACCACAATGTAAAACAATGGAAAAAGTGATAGAATAAAAATTATTGAAATAACTGTTGTTTAATTAATTTTATTACGAAAATTCAATTTAAATTAAATTCAGCTTAATTTAAAACATAATCAAGACTCGATTAACCGTTTTCATAAATCTAAATCAATTAAAATTAGACAAGACACTTCAAATGGCTCTCTGGAAGTTGATTTCACGGTCGCAGCTGACTTTATTTGCAATGGCCGGAAAAACTTAATTGAGTTTTCATGATAGCTTAATTTCCAACGCAGATGCGCATTGTCTTTCGTTTCCTTTCTTCACACTTTTTTGATTTATTAACCCAACTTACAACTTTTAATGGATTATCGATCACCATAGTATCATGCTATGAGATGGTAATTGAATAAAATAAATGACAGAATAGAAACTGATTTGTTTCAAATAGTTTTTGAATCATAGCCCATTAAATTGACGTGTAGCAAGATATCGTAAATTTTATATTGCACACTTCTTGACGAAAAATAATGTAAACGACGAAAGTTGTTCATCTTAAGGCTGTGGAGATTTGGACATGTTTGTGCAACATTCGCGTGAGCTCGTGGAGATTCGCATAACCATTTAAATGGTCACATAATCTCTAAATGGTCCAACAACCCTTTGATTAAAGTTCACCAAAGCTCGTAGCGGTTCGCATAAGTTCTTGAGAGTTCGTATAAATCCAAACTAATTCATATAGTTTTAAATTAGTTTCAATAAAATAGCTATTTATAAGATACAAAAAGTGGCATTTTATTTTATGAAGCAGAGCTATATATTATGACGTAGTTTGGTTAACTAAAAATTAAACACTCTATGTTTGGTTTTGAAAATAGAAATGAAACTCAATGTTTCGGGGAAAGTGAATTTTGAAGTTTGGGAAAAAATGAATTAATTATTGATTGTCAGGGGAGAATTGTCAACGGGAATTTTGTAAGATTGTCAGGAAGGATTTTGTATGGTTGATTTATATAAAAGATAATAGTAATGGAAATATATTGTTAATAAGAAGGAGATTTAAATAAAGAACATAAAAAAAAGGTAAAAGGAAAATTTTATTTAAAATAAAGAGTAAACGAAAACTAGGAAGGCGAGATAGCAGTAATAAGGCAGGAGGCAGAACGTTAGGAGCAAAAATAGAATAGTAGAGAGGAGAACGTGCAGACTAAACGAACAGACAAGGCTGAGAATAAGAAGAAGAAGAGCAGATAAGAAAATTAAGATTCTAAATTAATATTTTTTTTTACTATTTTTTAGAATCAAAATTAGAATATTTGTGATCAGACCAAACATAGAGATGATAAGGTAAATTAATATTTGGAATTGAAAATTTTATAGAAATTTCAAAGGTGAGTATATTTTTTTTATTTTTAGTTTTCTTTGATTATCTAAATTATTGATAGTGAGAAATATAAGTGAGTGAACCCAACCCAAAATTTTAATTCAAATATTATAAGTTTTCATCATCTAATAAAATATATAATTGCTGAGCTAGCTATACTTAGTATTAAACATAAATTATACATCTAAATTCTTATATTTATTATCAATATATATGTTAAGTTTTAAAAGTCACAGGCCGACTTTAACACCGTTTGCGAGCTGACAGTTAACATGTACATTTTAAAATGAAAAATGATAGAAAGTGGTTGAAGTAGAACCACTTTCATTAATTCCTTTTAGTGACTTCGATGAATTGGAAACAATAGCACACATGTTAAATGGCCTCCAAGGTCACCATATCTGACCCCATTCGACTTTTTTTCGGCCTTATCTCAAAGAACGTTTATAGCCGACCATTAAAAAATATATAGATCTCAAAAACAGAATTCCAATAGAGTGTCAAATATTAAACAAAAATACTGTTTACAAGTTGTTCTACGTTGTTTCCAAAAGAGCCAGTGTCATTTTGAACACTTAAAAGTAATTAATTAAATATGTCTTAAATAGAGTATTTTATAGGCCTATTATTATTTATTTCTTCAACACAAATGTCTATTTATTTATGGTCGTATTAAGAACAATTACTTCTTAATACAATCTAAAAAAGAAGTTAAGCATTTTTTTTGAAAAAAAAGTTTTATGTCACTTTGACATATATTTTTTTACAAAAAAAATTAGAAACTAAATAATCCTTGCAGTAAACTAATCAACAAATGTAAAGGTTACAATATTAAATAAAGAATATATAAATGAAGAATATTTAAATAAAGAATATTTAAATAAAGAATATTTAAATAAAGAATATTTAAATAAAGAATATTTAAATAAAGAATATTTAAATAAAGAATATTTAAATAAAGAATATTTAAATAAAGAATATTTAAATAAAGAATATTTAAATAAAGAATATTTAAATAAAGAATATATATAAATAAACAAAGAATATTCAAATTAAGTACAGACTTTCATACCTTTTGCCCTCGTACCGCGTCCAGGATAGGTAATATTTTGGTACTTCCTGACTTCCCAGTGCGTGATCAAGTCGATTAAAGATACTCCTCCGGCAATACATTTGGTTTCTTTGATACTGATATCGCCGCAATCGGGGCAGTGTATCGGAGGTCCGCACAGGTCCTCGAGAGACACCTTAACGGGTGGCGGTATTCCAAAGAGAACGGGTCCTTTTCCTCGCTCTGTATATAGCGATTGAGTTCCATTATGTTCTGGAAAATGAAAAGCAATAGGCTATATTATTGCGAGGTAATTTTGAGGGAATAATTGTATAAAAAAAATATTTAATGGTTATTTAGCCGATAAGTATCAAAATCTAAAAATATATTTTCGTTATTTCATATATCTTTAATTTATTTTCTAACTTACTTCCAAGTTGAAATTCTCCTCTAGTTGTTTGCAACTCATTTTTGCTGATGCAGTAATACTTGTAGTTGAAATCGTGGCTATTGACCCTCGTTATATTGAGCTGCATTCTAGATCTGTAGCCGTTCCTCTCCAAAGAATTATCTATCCTGTATTTGTCGCTGTTCTCCAACAGGCGTCCGTCAGAACGTTCCCAGTAGCTGTAAAGTTTGAAATTTCGTGAGATCAGGGTAAAAGAGAAGTATCTTTGATTTATTTTGCGGTATTATAAGTAATTTTAGTGTCGACAGGTCATATAGATATAAAATATGTAAATTTAAACCCCTTGATCTATAGATAAATTCTATCTGTTTTGGGAGACAGTACCTACCGTAGTACTTGTCTCATAGTTTAATTTCCGGAGCAATCATCCTTTGCAAATGAAAATAAAGCCCGAATATAAATTTTTAATGCAAAAAACCAATTTTCATAGCAATTATCTCTCAGTATGTTCGTCTTTTATATCAAATAGAATTTTAATACTACAACAAACAACCTGCTTTGTGTAATCGGTCCACTAAGACTAAGAAATTACCAATTAGCCGTTGTGCTTACCGAAGGGGTTCCGGAAAGGCTTCCGTCTCGCATTCCAAAGTGGCTGTTGATCCATTCGCCGCGGGCACATTTTGATTCGAAATCCTGACGAGAGGTGGAACTGAAACCATAAGAAAATGATTGATTGGGATACTAATAAGTCGGTGCGATGTTATACGAGCAACAAAGGGTTTTCAGAAAGGGATAACGTTGAATTATTGACGATCATCCAAGAGTGGATAGGAATTTTTAATGATTGCTTACTTACTGTAATGTCTTGATTGTTATTTACGTGTCTTTATTAATAAAAAGTCAACATTTAACTATATATTCAGTTGTACAAATTAATATAAAGAATATAAGATGATTGCTTACTCGCTATTACTATGCAGAACAAGATGTGACATCTAATTTAATAAAGATACTTGTCTAGTGACAGCGAATTCTCACAATTTACAGACTACACATGGACAAAAATAAAGCAAACTAACGCAGTCAATCTTAGCAATTACTATTGAATTACACTAATTCAAGTCGACTGGTGGACTAAACATTCATTGGTTTAATTCTCTTGATATGTGAAATTAAATATTTAATGTATTCTCTTTTTCATTCATTATTTGTTTGTTAATTTACTTTTTCCATTTTGTGACTGGCTGTATGACAAAGAGTCTATGTCAAAAAAAACTTACAGGTTAATAAACTACAAGTAAATTTTTACCACTACAAAGTAGAAATATGAACTCTAACTGGAAGATTTAAAATATTTTTTAAAACAAATAGAATATACAAAAAATCAAGCTCAAGCCAAGGTTTTCAGAACCATTCTAAGCTAGAGCATAACATGGAAGGCGACTCAGTGGTGCTATTTTCGTACACATTTGCGCAAGGCAAAATTGAACCTTTATCTTTCATTTTTTCCTTGTAAAAGATGGAAATACTTTGCTGCAGGCGCACTAGCGGTGGCGCGCTCGATGACGTCTTAAAAAGCTATTAAAGAAAACGCTAATGTCATAAAACGTAATGAATTTAATATTTTTAGAAAATCCCACTGAACTTTAAAAATAAAAGCTTCCTTTGGTCAAATCCATCTTAACGGTTCTATCATAAAATTGGACCCATAAAGGGCGAAATCTACTGTCTCTAGTTTTACACTTGGTTCTATTCTATCAAGTTGAATATACCTATTTACATAGATTTTTTTGTTTTTAATATTTTTATACTTTGAACAAATTAACTTTTCGTAAAAAAAATGAAATCGACATATAAAAGAAAACATATTTATTTTAAAAACTCATTGAAAAAGCTTTTTCTAATTAAATCGTTACCTGTAAATCTACAAATATTTTTCTCTTAATTTGTTTTTCTTTTTATGCACCTACGACATCCATTATACCTAACCTCTAATAAACAAATCTCGAAGCTAAATTATGAATGATTGTTATTGCCCTGTTGTCAGACGTAAAATCTTTTAGATACCGAGATACCAGTAGCCTTACTATCATTAAAAATAACGTAAACTAGTCAACAATGTTTAATTAGAATATTATATTTCTGCCAAAGACGCTTAAATTGTGAACTCGTGTTGGCTTCTAAAATTTCGTAAACAATCCTATCTATATATTTGTTACATATTCCTAAAACACCTGCCAACAATGCCGGAATATTATCCAACCAACAACACATTAAAATAGGAAATAAAATACCTACATTCAGCAATAATGTATACATACTTACAATGAACTTCGACGAGGTAGGTCCTATTTGCCTGTGGCGGAACGCCATTATCAGCGATGCACATGTAGATTCCCATATGGTCGCGTGATATTCTAGGGATGCTCAAGTTAGGCCCCGGGACTTGGATATCTACAAAAATTCAATAGGAGAAATTTACACTTCCATTATGTATATTTACATTCACTTTACTAGATAGTGGTATTTCGTTATAAAAATACGGGAAACGTGTCAATAGAAAAGGCCACGCTAGGTTAGAGTTTAAACCTTCGCAATTATGCTGTAAAAGTTTATTTCAGCTGTTAAATTTGCTTTTGTTTTATTACGTACATCTGCATTTAAATACTAAGGAAATATAGAACATAAGCCGGACCTATTACATGTCAAAATTTAACAAATTAATTACTTGATGCAAAAAGTTTAACTAACGTCATGTCTAATCAATGGCGTTAAGCGTAACCGACGCGAAATATACTCAATAGCTTTGTTCGCGGAGCCTGGCACCATTTCGATTCCAGCCGTTGGCGGAGCCGAAAATCAGGGATTTTGACAAAATGACGAGCGTTCGAGGAGCACTTCAAGGTTGCCAGGTCTAGTGAAATTGCACTAGATCTAGTGAATTTTGAACCATTGAATACCCTATTTCTAGTGAATTTTTTGAAATTGAATTAAATTCAAAAATAGACTAGAAAAGATAAAAGTTACACGGAAATAATACTATGAAGATCTACCTTATTAACAGAAGGGTAGTGATTTGACAATCCGTATAGCTGTTTCAACTATACTTAATATGCGTTCATTGTGACTGTCTCACAGATAAATTAATAAACATATTAATACATAACTGTTATGTTAACATATTGCATTCCAATATTGTTTAAACATATCAATTTCGTTGGAACATATAAATATTTGGACTAAGTGTAAGGAGACAATTCAGTGCTGCCGTTCCAGTACAATTGTACCATTTACAATTAATTTTTGCTTAAAAAGTACAAAAGTTCATTTATTTGCAAATAGTAGGATGTCTAGTATATTTCATAAATATTTCTCTAAAATACATAAGTTAAAGTGTATGATAGTCATTTTGGTACAAAAGTCGTTCGCGGTAATCTCTTGTCAGGGATTTGTTACAAATCGCAGTTGCTCACAAACGTTTCTGATTGTTTATCAGTGACAAGTCGTGAACTTGTCGGCGACAGACTCCGCGAACAAAACGAGGTACTTTTAAAACGCAGCATAAGAAGCAAAAACTTACAGTGTCACTTTGAAAATTAGATTTGAAACGACAACACAAGCAGTGTTGCTAGCCTATTACAATTGTAATACATTTATTACATAGTAATTGGTACTAGATTGCTTCCATTACAAAAATACTACGTTTTAGTTTCCTTATTACTCAAAAAGATCAAAAATAATATAAATTTTTATTTTGCCACCTAGGGGCTAAATAAAAATTCATAGTATTTAAGTCATGTCATGTATTATATTTCTGTCAAATATACAGGGTGTTTTCTAACTACTGTACCAAATTTTAGAGAATGATTCCTTAAGTTGTTGCATGAAAAAAAGTTCCTATGAACATATGTCCAGAGTTGCTATATTTCTGAGATACAGGGTGTTAAAGTTAAAAAAAATGGTTATTTTTTAAATATAAATATCCTTAAACCGAATTGTTTTAAATTTGATACAGTTATTTGAAGTAATAAAGCGCTGTTTTTCATTAGAACACTTAATATTCTTAATCCATCGATGTACTACAATACCAGAGGTATATCTGTACAATAATATACATCATTTTGTCAAAGATATAAATAGGTAGAAAACGAAAATTGTACATTTCAAATACTGTCAAGAGTAATCCAAATTTGTTAATGTGTTTAAACCAGCGTGTTTCTATTTTAAAGAAGATATTCAAGATAAATTATCCTTCATTTGCAATAAACAGGGTGAGATGAATTGGGTTAGGCAACTGAACGTTTTTGCCAACATTGTAATGCTAATTTCAAAATAAACGCTGATCTACAGGTTCTTGCTTGAGAACTCAATGATGACATTTTATTTTTGGAATCTACGAGGTATTATCTATCTGTATGCATATTTTGAACTGTTGCCTATCTAAAATCGTTTTCCTCGGTTAATAATTTTTTAATAGCCTTGTAGATATCATCGAGCGTAGAACAAAACTGATAGATTTCAATGCTTCTGACCGCTCATCTCTATATTTAACTCTTTTAGAGTTATTCAAATAAAACTCACCTTGCCAGGTACCCATAACGACTGGTCTGTTATCAAGTCGCTGCCAAATTGTGTTCGGGGGCGGAGTACCGCTAGCTAAACATTGAAGATTAACATTATCCCATTCGTGGACAATACTCGCTCCCGATGATCCCGCAGGAGCTCCTGAAACAAAATATTCTAGTATTAATATTCCAAAACTACAGAAAGAAAGTTTCAAACCAAAAACGGAATTTTAGAATTCTGGAACAACGTACTCCCAAAATAGAGGAAGCCAGAAATATTTAACTTCATATTTAAAATTGATCTTTTATATACAAAGGGTATTCCATTTAAAACATATATTTTTGTGCTGTCACTACCTAAATAATTTTACCTAAATAATTTTAAAAGTAGATATTAAAAGTGTCTCATTTATAGTATCTCAAGATAACAGAGATTAATAACTTCGTCAGAAATGTGGGTTATGGAACAACCTGAATATTATACAAAAATAAATTAAACCTTTCATTTTTAATGGAAATATCACTTAACACGCCGAACATGATATCATATCGCTAATCGTATATCACAGGTGGGTGTTATTAATTTCTTTTTGATCCGTCGATAACGCCTCCAAAAACCTTATGCTATTGATAAATCTGAAAATTTCTTTCCTTCGGGAACATTTTTCTTCCCGTTCCATTTTGGGCCAGAAGTAAACAGATTAATATCATATAAATCATCGCACGGTCCAGGTCGGGGTATCAAAAGATGTCGACATGAGCGTGAAAAGATTGAGGAAAAAAATATATTCTACACGCTATCGTCTCTGAAAAGGTTTCCAGTGGCGCTCGTACAATTTATTTTCTTAATTGTTTCGGCCTTTACTTGATGAAAATTAACAGAAACCGAGTGAGGTAGAATTGGTCTTATGACCTATCACTCGACCTTTTATTTGCCTAATTAGTGTAATTAGTGTATTTTTGTTTTTTTATATTTTGTATTTTTGTACATCTTTTATTGGCAAATAATAAACTATTATTATTATTATTATTATTATTATTATTATTATTATTATTATTATTATTATTATTATTATTATTATTATTATTATTATTATTATTATTATTATTATTATTATTATTATTATTATTATTATTATTATTATTATTATTATTATTATTATTATTATTATTATTATTATTATTATTATTATTATTATTATTATTATTATTATTATTATTATTATTATTATTATTATTATTATTATTATTATTATTATTATTATTATTATTATTATTATTATTATTATTATTATTATTATTATTATTATTATTATTATTATTATTATTATTATTATTATTATTATTATTATTATTATTATTATTATTATTATTATTATTATTATTATTATTATTATTATTATTATTATTAAATTTGGTAGATTTTCACACTTCTATTTAAAAAAAAAATTAAAATTAAAAATTCTTCATGACAGTTGTTTTAAAGTACAACTTCTTTTTAAAATGTAACTAATTTATATTTTGGTGTCTTATATAGAGGGTGATCCGGTAATAATGGGACACAGAGCAACAATGAATTCATTGCATAAAAATTTGCGATATAACACAATTTACCATATTTCAATTCTTGATATTAAAATAGCTACAGGGTGAATTACTAAATAACTTAAACTGTGATTACTATCTCAATTTTATCTAAATTGGATTCATGAACATTATTGCTATTAATGGTGAGACACAACATGTCGTGGTTTATGCAGGATAGTGTTCCACCCCATTACAGTAGAACACTACGAAATTACCCTGATAATGAATTTCCACAACATTGGATAGGCCAAAGTAGGCAGCAGTAGACCAGACCATAATCATATGGATTTTTCCTTTTGTGGGTTTCTTAAAAGAATGGTTTATAACTAACCAATAAATTCTCGTGCCGAACTTTGGCAAAAAAATAGTAAACTAAGAAATTTAATAAAGGTGAGTTTTTAATATCTAATTGATCATTTAATAGGTTATCTGAATTTTTAAATTTATTTATTTCAAGTATCTCTAAATGGTTTAATTTAATGTCCTTATTATACTCTTCACACAGTAGTCTGTGAGGAGTATTATGCATTCGATTCCGTCCGTCGTCCGATGTCACGTTATTTAAACGCTCGATAACTGAAAACCGAAAAATGTCATCAATTCGAAAATTTCAGAAAAAATCAAGCTCTGCAAGTGGAAGAAGCCTATTGATTTAAAAAAATCTGAGGAGTTAAAGGGGTTAAAATATTTTAAAAAATCCTAACTCAAATACGAAAAATGCTATAAACTTGAAATTTTTAGCAAAAATCTAGCTCTATAAGGGGAAAAAGCTTATTGATTTAAAAAAAAATAAAAATAGGGATTAAGGAGGAATGAACTTAAAAAAAAAATCAAATCAAAACCGAAAAGTGATATTAACATGAAATTTTTGGTAAAAATCAAGCTCTATAGGAAGGACTATTGATTCTGAAAAAATCTGAATTAACATGGAGGGTTGAGGGGGGGTTGAAATAAAAAAAAAATCCTAAACAAAAACGAAAAAGATATCAACTTGAAATTTTTATCAAAAATCAAGCTCTTTAAAAGGAAAAGCCCTTTGATTTAAAAAAATCGAATTAAAATAAGGAGTTTAAAGGGATTGAAATAAACAATCTTAAATTAAAAATGAAAAGCGATATAAACATGAAATTTTATTGTAAAATTCAAGCCATATAGAGGAATGAAGCCTATTGATTATAAAAAAAAAATATGAATAAAAATGGGGGGTTAAGGAAGGTTGAAATAAAAAAAAAATAGAAATTAAACACAAAAAGCGATATCAACATAAAATTTTTAGTAAAAATCAGGTTCTATAAAGAAATAAAGCTTATTGATTCTAAAAAAAAATCTGAATAAAAATGGGTGGTTAAGAGGGGGTCGAAATATAAAAAAACAAATCCTAAATCAAAAACAAAAAGCGATATTAACATGAAATTTTAAAAAAAAATCAAGCTCTATAAGAAGATAAAGCCTATTGATTCGAAAAATATCTGAAAAAATATTAAATTTAAATTTTTCGCAAAAATCAAGCTTTATAAGAGGAAAATGCTCTTTGATTTTATAAAAAATCTGATTAAAAATGTGGCGTTTAAGGAAGGTTGAAATTAAAAAAAAAAACTAAAAAGAAAAACCTAAATTAAAAATTAAAAACGATATCAACATGAATTTTTTAGTAAAAATCAAGCTCTGCAAGGAAATGAAGCCTATTGAGTTTTTTGTGAGATAATCACCCAATAGCTTATTGGAGTTTTATTAATATACAGTGAGTATCATAAGTCTTAACCCCCCTCCCCCCTATCTAACTCGTCTTGTTAGGAAAATCGCCGAGAGACGTTGATTTTTGATTTCTACAATGAACATTTTTGTATGAATAGTTTACCCTTAATTTCATCACTTACTGGAGGGGAACAACCCTTTCTAAAAATTTAAATGGCATGTGGTAGTGAGTGATAGCTCATTTGAAAGAAGGTTTTATTCTCTATTCAACCGTGCTAAACATTTTAAAATTTGCTTCAATAATTTTCGTCTAATTATTGTTTCAGAATAACGGAAATTAACGTAGCGCCCTCGTCCTTAGAATTAAAAATCAGCCCTGCATGATATCGGTTTTGGTTCAGACGTGAAGTAGGACTTTTTGCCATTATATAAGGTGACTGTTAGTTTAGTTGCTTTCCTATTTGTGATGTTTTGTTATTTATCAGTTCAAGAATTAGCCACAACACAAGAACGCTAGGTCAGGGGCGAAGCATAGGGATCCACCCTCGTATATATATTAGACTCCAAAATGTAAATTAGTTACATTTGAAGAAGTTGTACTTCCAAACAACTGTTACAAAGAAGTTTTAATTTTAATTTTTTTTTTTAAATATATTTTTAAAATTCTTTTAATTTCAATTTTAAATCGTGAATAGTTCTGCAAGATTTTATGTTCTCTGGGAATATAATGATAACTCTAGGTCCTCTAAAAACAGGAGAGTAAAACTCTCAAAAAATCGTTCTACATCATATCTCCAATAAACAAAAACGACATATGTCTCTATTGTAATATTAATAAAAATTAATAATTTTGTTGTAACTGATAAATTAATTTTCTGAATCTCTTACTATATTCATGGAGATCTCCGTTTGATAAAAAAACTATACTTTTTCTTAAAAATGTACACCAAGAGTTCAAAAATATATAGAGTTAAAATCTTTAGCCTTTTTAATAATTCTTTACAAGACGTTAATCTAGAACATTAAAACATTATTGGCTCTAGTGGCTTTTCCAAAGCCTCTCATAATTAATAACAATATTTCGTTTTCTGAAAAATATTTTGCTAATAATATTTTCCTCTAAAGTCCGAAAATGGAGTTTATCAAGATTCTAAGAAACCTATAAGTAGACGAAGTAGAATACAGTGCCTCACAGCCATATAGTTTTTAGTAATTTTCCTGTACATTCCTCTCTCTTGCCGTTCCCCATCGACCCCGCTACTCCTGCCGGGCAGTAAATCCTCCTCGATAGAAAACACGTGATAATAAATCAAGTGTGCTGCTCACACACCTCAACGCGGTTTTAGCCCGGCACTGCCACCGCCAAGCCAAAGTTTACGTTTGTTTTTTGTCACGTCTTCACCACCTGCGATATTGGCGGCGGTGCTGGCTATCAAGCATTCGTCGGAGTCGGAGACGGGCAACAGTCACCGCAATCACCTCGGCCGCCACTGCAAGACGTACCTTCAATTAATTTTGATTCCCGATTATACACAGAGTATATTTTGTTTCTTGTAATGGTGTCTATGTGAGCCAGAGTGGACGTAGAATTGGGAATGGTTTACAGAACATTTCAAACTTATTGGGAAATATTATACAAAGATTCAGATATTGTTAACAGTATATCATCTTTCGCCAATCATATTACTGTATGTAAAACATTCTGCCTCTTCTTGTGACTTTGAATTGTTACATCATTGCAATGAGGGTTTTCGAATTGACTTAATGTGGTTTTCTGAAGTTCATAAAGCTATTTACAACAAAGAAGTAATTTGTGTCAATAAACAACTTTTTCCTATTTCTACCTTCCTACGTGTTAGTCATACTTGACATATAATTTATATATATAAAGGATAACTTTCCCCACCTCTGGCAGTTCGCTCTTTTTTCTCATCTTGAAGACATTATACTTTAGGATACCCTTTATCCTTCCATTTTCTTTTGGTATTAATTTTGAGATTTTTTTTTCGTTTATTCGAACAGTTGAATACATGGGCGAAGTTAGGGGGGGTTTGGGGGCTAAGATCCCCCAAAAACCAAATTAGCCCCCCCAAAAATAATTCGAACATTTATCGCACATCTATCCACACATTTCAGCTTTCAGAACAGAAATTAATAAATAAAGAAAAATCGTGCCATTTAATTGATTCTGAAATTTCACATTTAGTTCAGGAGGCAGTGAATTTTACTTGACTCATTTTTCCAATCGGTGTATATGAAAATAAACTGTTCTCTTAGTGACAAAAAACAAACATTTTGAGTCTGACACTTATTTTCCCAGTCATAAATATTTTACATTTACTAAACTAGAACATAAAGCTTATAAAAATAGCAGTTTGGAATATCTCAGATAGTGGAAAGTGAGTGTGGCAGAAAATTTAGCATATAAATTGATACAATCATGAACTGTTAATAATAATAAGTCTGGCTGATTTACGAAATTGACAAATGAGTCTGGTAATATCTTCAAAACCGAAAAAATATAATATTTCTGCTTTTATTTTCCCGGGTTTGAAAATTTGTCATGTAATAGATTATATTATAATTTTACAGCTCTATTTTATAGCAGATCAAATACCGTTATTTTCAAACGCTTCCATGAAAAATTTCCGGAAATTTTTCTTTTGGTGGGTACCCTGAACGAAATTATAGTGAAATTTTTTTTGACAGTTGAGAAGCTCTTTTATGCATATGTTTTATATGTTGTTCTATGGCCAGCTTTGAAAATTTGATTTTAGTCGTTTTAATGTATGTCTGTCAAGTTTTGAAATTTGGATATTTTGGTGTAAAATTTTCTTACCCAATACCTACCACTGGTGCCTAAATTATTATTAGTAAATTTTTGCTCACTCACGCATATTTTAAGAAAAATATCAATCGTCTTCGACTCAGGATAAATTTCAAAATATTCGTAAGTTCGAAAAAATTTTCGGAAATAATTTAGGCACTAGTAGTATTCTAAGTGAAAATATAAGTCTGGCTGACAATTAAAATCACGAAGGCCTGCCAGACTCACAAGTAGTGTCCGGCCGAAGGTTCGGTTACGATTTTGGCCAACTTCGGCTTAAAATAAGAGTTTCGACTACAGTTTCGGTTTCGGCGGAAAACTGGCCGAAACTGCAGCCAACTACGAAACTACTTTCGAAAGTTTTCGTATCACACTTGGTTGTGTCCGGCACAATGGCGACTGTGCCGGGTGTCATTCCTACACAGTGCACGTACTTCTCTGCTTTGTTTCAAGTGAACAGTCTTCAGTGCTCCTGGCCTAATTTATTCGTATCAAAGGAGCATTTTTTTAGGTGAAACGTGGAAAAAATATTATTTCTAGCCTACAACGTTAGACTGTTTACTTATGAATATTAATTTAATTACAAAAATCTAGAGACAGATGCAGAAATGATTGCTACTTTGTAATTCACTTTTTTTTTTTTTTTTTTTTTTTTTTTTTTTTTCAGTTTTAAAAGTAATAAAAAAAACAATGTCAATAAATTTATTAATGACTTCTTTGGATCACATAAATAAATAGGTAATAAGTAAATGTAGCTAAAATTTATAATACGAGTTAATTAGTCTTAAACAAAGATATCGCAAATTTCAATAAGAGATTGCCTTAAAAGAAAGTTCTTATTTTTGTTTCGGTTTCGACTGAAACTAAGAAAGGAGACGAAATTGGGTTTCGGTTTCGGTTATAAAACCGTATTTCGGTCGGACCTGACAAGCCAGTTAGTTAAACGAGGAGAGGAATAGTAATCGAACGTGCAGAATTTAGCGCGCCTGACGATCATTAGACAAGTCTGGCAAGGCTTTCGGGGTATTCCACATTAGCCAGATTGTATTTTGAGCTGTTATCATAATATACATTTTTCTAGTACTGAGGACACTTGTAACAGGGATCCGTACTGGGCATTGCCAACTAAAAGGATACCTTAGTAAACTGAAAGTAGTAGAAAATAGTGAGTGAAGATTCTGTGAGGAGAAGGACGAAACCTTCATTTACATTCTAACTGAATCTCCAAAATCCAAGGGCACTATACCTAGGAGCATATCAAATAGAAACTTGCAACTCCAAATCCTACACTTCCTTGAGAAGATATAATTGAAAGGGTCGTTATAGGCATTGAGACATTTCCTTGCTGCATTAGCGACAGAAGGGGGCACAATAGATATTTTAGGTCGCAACATAACATAACATAGCGAGAAAACTGCAAAATAATGAAATCCACAAATCCCAGTTCATATTTTGGACATCCAACTACTATTATTTTTAAAATTTTAAATTCTGACAAACTGTCAGTATATTTTTTAGTCATTAAGATTACATATACGTTAAAATTAGTTATTTTTGTTTAGAATCGATAAAAAATAACTTTTTTATTTTATTTGGGCCACATTTAAAAAAGTAAATTTTAATCAAATTGTATGAAACTAATTTAATTACGAGTATTAAAATTAAAAACCTAAAAGTGGCGGTGGAGCTGAGGACAGAGCATTTGCCTTCCACGCGAATAGCCTGGGTTCGAATCTGGACTATAGGGGCTAATTTTTTATTTTATAAATTAATAAAATTTATAAATTATTTTAAAATGGCTTATTTTGTCTAAATCTAAAATAATTTTTTAAATTTGTAGATTTTCGTTAGTAGTTCGTAGAAAAAATATACTGCACAACTCGAGTGGATTGTCCATATCTACTCTTGTTGCGAAAATTAGGGAAATTTTTGTGATGAAAATTATTCAGTTTTTTCACTTATATATGATATTTTATTCATTTTCATAGATTCGCCAGAATTTTTTTACTTAACTTCAGTATACCTCTAGAACTATTATATATTATATGACTAGGGTTAGGGCTTTAGCCCCCCAGATCTGATGACATAACTTCGCCCATGGTTGAATACCCTCTACGATTTGTTTCCACGTTGATTGTAGACAACAGTCGGGGCCATTGCAACCATAGGTGCAGGTCGTGCGGCACACGACGCCGTCGTCATGCAAAAGATGTCGAAGATATGTTTTTATTTTTACCACTGTTTGAAAAACTATTTAGAAGGATTATGTCTGTTTGAGCTTAGGTAATAATAACTAAATAAATAATGTATAAAATTTATTATTAGATTATATTATCTATGGAGTCAAACATGATTTCTTTAAGTTGCTTGGCCACGTTTTATTGCGTCTTTTATTCTATTACTAAGCGCCGTGCGCCCTTACTATATTTTCTAGTTCTTGTTTTTCACAAGTTTATTCCTGTCGTCTGGCCTCTAGCAATAGCACTGCAGTTTTTTTAATAAAAATTCATTTTCATTAGTGCATTAGCATTTTTCTTGGGTATTAGAGCAAATCAAATCAGTTAAAAAATATATACCTATTTGAATTTTTTTTTTGATGCTGAAAGTGTTAGTTTTTATCTTATTTCAATGAGTTTTTTAGCACATATAAAAATCCGTTCTAACAAAAAAAAGTATTTCGAGCATTAAGTATTTTACATAACTTATTTCAATAAAACTAATACAATAACAAAACTTCACAGCTTTAAAAACTATTTGAATCCATAAGAATCTGTATTGGACATGCTTCAAAAGTTCTTCACCCTCTTTGCTGATGTTTTCTAAAGTTAATATTCAGTAAAAGCATAAGCGTCCAGAAATATCTAAGCCTTCCAGACATCCGAACACAGCCTAAAGACTAAAACAACCCTTGAACCTAAACCCATGAAGGACATAACATCCCCTAACAGTATATTTCAACATAGGCAAAAAATGCAGAAAAATAATAAAGATACTAATTCCATAGAGAGTATGGAAGTTCAGAACGAAAATGAGAAATTTGGCATCCCTACAAAGGTGAGCTCCAACCTAAAAAGCCATAGCCACGTTATCCATAACTACTGAAAATCGTTACCAGGTACTTACAGATACATCAGATGATGAAAATCTTGAAACCAGAGCAGCAAAAAGAAGGGTAGCCAGAAACCACAGAAACAACCCCAATAAGGACACAAAAATCCAAAATAAAAATGAGAAGGCAAGCATAGAGGAGGCTACACAAACTACCCAAAAAATCAAAGAAAGGTCTAATAGCCCCCCAATAGTACTGGACGGTGTAATAGGTGATCATAAGGGGTTCTCAGGTATCCTAAAACAAATAATAAAAGGACCATTCAATGTAAAATATACAAACGGTACAACAATATTATTTACAGAAAGATTACGATAACTTCCTACACAAAGTAAAACAGGACGAACTACCATTCCATGCCTACACAGCCAAGTGCAAAAAGTCGCACGCATTTATGATCAGAGGGCTAGGAGAAGGCACGAAAATCCCGGACTTGGAAGAAGATATATTGGAGACACACGAGATAAAACTCAGAGCAGCGTACCAAATGACGACTAAAAACAGTGTTAGTTCCATTAAGTAGCCTGAGATATATGATAATATAATATAAAGAATAAAGTTGAGATAACTAATTTTATGTAAATCGTAATAATTTGTAATTATAAATTCATTAGATTCAACAAAACCCTAACCCGAAAATGTCATGTTGTATGATTTTTTTAGATGTCTAAAGAAGCTAAAAAGAAATTTTCTTTTTTTTTTTCCTTTTTTTCCTTTTTTTTTTTCCTTTTTTTTTCCTTTTTTTTTTCCTTTTTTTTTCCTTTTTTTTTTTCCTTTTTTTTTTTCCTTTTTTTCTTTTTTTTTTTTTTTTTTTTTTTTTTTTTTTTTTTTTTTTTTTTTTTTTTTCTTTTTTTTTTTTTTTTTTTTTTTTTTTTTTTTCTTTTTTTCCT